GCTGAGCATGTTCTTCCCTTTTGGTTTTCTAACTCCAGATCTTTGCTTATTTCATTGTAACATTTCACTTTGGAACTTCCCTCTAAATTTTTCTGTTCACCCTTTTTTCTTCATTTCTTCAAGTTGCTTTAGCTTTTCTATGTTCAAGAGCAAGTTTCAGAATCTCTTCTGACCCTCATGTGGACTTTTCTTTCTTTCCTGTCTTTTTAATGACCTTTTTGCTTTCTTCATGAATGATGTTCTTGATATCATCCCACAACTCTTCTGGTCTTCAGTCATTTGTATCTAATGCACCAAATGTGTTCTTTATATAGACTCTGAATTCAGGTAGGATATACTCAGTGTCATATTTTGATTCAGGTGGACTTGTTTTAATTTTCTTCAGCTTCAGCCTGAACTTGCATATGAGCAATTGATGGTCTGTTCCACAGTCTGCCCCTGGCATTGTATTAGCTGTGATATTGAGCTTCTCCATTGTCTCTTTCCACAGATGTAGTCCATTTGATTCTTGTGTATTCCATCTGGTGAGATATATGTGTATGTTGTTAAAAAATTTGCTTGCAAAATTTTGTCATGCGATTTATCTCCAGCATTATTTCTGTTGCCAAGAACATATTTTCCAACTACTGATCCTTCTTCTTTGTTGCCAAACTTTGCATTTCAATCACAAGTAATTATCAATGCATCTTGATAGAATGCATGGGCATAGTGAATTATTTAATGTCTCGATCTGTAAGTCCCACTAAACAACACTTTTGCCATGCTGGGTCTGGGAGAAGACACTGATAGGATGGGATGAGTCAACTTTGGAAGCTAGCAGAGTTGATTATATGTGTAAAAACTCGAAACTTGAGCATGGGTATAAAATGAACCATCTCAGAAGCAGGAGTGGGGGATTTCACTACCATTAAAAAAGAAGGATCAGGAATGAAATGTGTCCTTTGGACCCCGAGATACCTGCACATTAGACCTCCCTGGCCCAGGGACAGAAAACTGTGACACCATTGGAGTGGCTGAGAAGCTACAGCAGCAGAACGTAGAACCAAAACATGAGACAGAACAGGGACTTCCTAGCCCATGGAGCAAGGAAAGCTGAGCGACTTTGGGCAGGAAGCTTGCTTGCAGAGTGGGATGTCTCCAGGCACTTAAGTGGAATTGCTAGGTTTGCTAACCCAGGGAGCTAGAAGCCAATACCGACGGTCAGGCTGAGGTTTATAGTGGAGGGGCCTGGCTGAGGAGAGACTGTCCTTACTGAAAGACCTGTGCCCTGGGCATTTTCTGATTTAGTGCAATGACTTCCTTAATAAACCCCATAACTGTGAGTGTGGTGTCTGAGTTTTGTGTGCCCATTGCAACAAATTATGGAGCCTAGATGAAAAGTAGAGAGTGCTTTGGGAGGAATGGTTAGTGCCATATTTTGTACAGCATGTTTGATCAATTTCAGACTAAAGAAGTTGGTAGAATTCTTCAATTTAATCATCACTGGCTTTAGTGGTTGTTGCATAAATTTGAATAATAGTGGCATTAACTTATCTTCCTTGTTGTTGTTAAGTATGGGGTTTCTGAGTAGGCATATGGATATTATGCTATCACAGGTAGTATTGTACTTCAAGATAGATCTTGAAATGCTTGTTTTGATGATGAATGTGACAACATTCCCCTTCAATTTGTTGTTCCTGGCATAGTGAACAGTATGATTGTCCTATTAAAAATGACAGTATCAGTCCATTTCAGCTCATTAATGCCTAGGATATTGATCTTTATACATTCTGCTTCATTTTTGATAACTTCTAATTTTCCTAGATTCATGCTTAATGCATTCACATTCTGATTATTAATGATGCTTAAGCAAGTTTTTTTTTTTTTTTTTTTGAATAAACCCATGCATGTCTGAACTGGAACTCTAGTAGTAATAATTTTTTATATATAGACACAAAGATTTCAAGAGACTTTGTTGAATTTATATATCCTGGAATTTATACAATAATATATAATTGCTTTAAAATTCAACCTAAGAAAAATAATAATTTATAATATGCAAAATGAGATTTTCTTCCCTTTATTCTTAGTAACTGTAAGGAAAGGAAGCCATTCTGTTGATCAGGCGCAAAGTCCTTCAGTAACAAACTATATTGATGGGACGCCTCTTTTTGAAAAAAGTATGTTTCGCTTCAGTTTCCAACTAATCCAGTTTCTATTGTTTTCTGTGGATTATGATATAATTGGGTTCTGTTTGACTGGGCCATTTTTTCCTACATTATTCATTGTCATTTCCTCCACATTAGGGCTCAGAACATACTGAGAATCCTTTGAATCTCCTTTCCTTTACCTTTCTCTTACTTAGGCTGCCTATAAAGCCTAGGTATCTCATGACACCATTTATAGACCAGGGCAAGGCCAAGGGCAGGTTAGTGTCTTGGTTCCTCATCTGAATCTGTCACTGTGCCGTATGCCAGAATATACCAGCCAGCAGTAATACTCAGCCTCATCTTCAGGCTGGGCCCCTGAGATGGTGAGGGCAGCTTTGCCCCCAGTGAGGGAGCCTGAGAAGCGGGCAGGGGTCCATGAGACTTTGTTATTTGTGTTATAAATCAGCACTCTAGGAGCTAGTCCAGACTTCTGCTGGAACCAGTATGGATAGTGACCATCAGTGACAATGCCAGTGCTGGAGCCACAGGTGAGAGTGATGGTTCCTCCTGGGGACACAACCAATGAGGGCTCCTGAGTCACCACAGCCTGAGAACTGAGCCCTGAAATAAAAAGCAGACATGTGTTAGGAAGGAGGAAGGAAGATGAGGGACCACTCCAAAGGCCAGTCTCTGAAGTCTCCATGAACCTGGGCAGTGGATGAGGAGCAGGAGGAGGAGAGGTGTCCAGCACATGGTGAAGATTTTCCATAGACCACCTGGCCTCGAAGCTGGTAGTGAATCCTCTAATGCCTCTTTTTATCTCCTTCTCATCTTGTGTAAAGAACATCTAAGTGTTTGCCTGGTGCATTATGCAAATCTGAGCCCTCTAGGACCAGTCCTTAATTCTGAAGCCCCTCCCTCTAGTTCTGGTTCCTCAGCCCTGAGAGCAGTCCACTGGCCTGGGGAGACTTGGGGGGCTGTAAACTCAGGGTTTTCCCCAAGAGAAAACAGCTGCTGTAACCTTGCATCCTGAACCGTCAACAAGTGCCCATTGTCCATTAAATTTCAATTTTCTTTCAGGCCTCAGAGAAGATCCAGAGCATCCCCAAGTGGCTTCTATGAGCAGAATGTGTGTGGTGCTCTCTAATTGAGCAATCTCCTATTGTTGAATTTTTTCTAACTTTGCATTGCATTTCTCAGGCCATCTGCAATTATAGCTGAACTTGTCTTTACTCAGTCCTGCTTGTACAACTTTCTTTAGTTATTTTAAATTCATCCCAGTATTCAATTTCAGATTTAACTGGTTTACATTATTTATCTGACCTCTGAGTGATTGACTCTGGTGAGGTTATATATTTGAACCTCAAGTTGAATTAAGAGCTGGTTGAAGGCAAGAGTTATTTAAAAAAAGTATCTGTGATAAATAGGCTTTAGGTTTGTAGATACTAGCCTCCAAAGACATAGTCAGAGTGGAAAAATAATTTAAAGTCATGGAACTAATGCTATGTTTGGGGGGCATGAAGAGGGGGTTTGGCAGCCAAGTCCCTAATGGGAGGGATTATCCTGTACCTGGGAATTTAGGAGCTCCTTGACAGCATCAAGTCAAAAGAGAAATGCTGGGCTTTCTTGAGGTTTCTGAGTTTAGGGAATGATCAGAAAAACCTGGGTCCCAAAGATCTAACCCTAACCTAATTCAGGGTCCAAATTTTTCCCTCTCCCTGATGTCACATCTGAAGATCTTGGTCCCTAGTGAGTTTTCCAGGCCATCCTTGCGCCTGACATTCCTCCCAGTTCTACATTCTCACAGATTTCTCACTTTTGTGCCTCATCCTGGACACAAAGAGCCTCAGCTAGTCCTGAGCACTTTTGAGGGTGAGGTGGGGTAGGGAAGGAGCAGGAGAAGGTCTATGCTCTGACCCTCCCAGAGAGAGTGCAGGCTGTAGAGTGACCTTCCATGTGCTGGAATCCTTGTGCCCAGGTCTCTGATCCAGAAGGAAACTGGGACAAGCGAATGTGCTTTATTTCAAGAGAACAGAGGCACCTTCATAAGCTGTGGTTTTTATTGCCTATGGGACACAATGTGTAGCTTCAGTATTATTGTGGGATTTTTCCAGTTTGGTTTACTTATTTATGTTTTCGTTTTCCTGGGCCTTTAGATTTACTGCGATTGGGAGGAGAGCCATTGTGACCAGGAAGCTGTCTCCAGGTATAGTCAGTGTAGATGAAAATTATTTTAGTAATAGAAAAGAGTCAGGCTCAGAGACCTTGAGATGGAGTTTTTGTTCCATGTCACCATCTGCTTGTGTCACTGTGAAAAGCAGGGCTATGCCAGACCTGGCAGTAGTATCAGCTTCATCCTCTGACTGCAGCCCAGAGATGTGCAAGAAACCTGCATTGGCTGAGGCATCTTTGGATCCAGAGAAGCGACTGGGGACCCCGGAGCCCTGGTGTTTATCTGAGTCTGTGTGGTAGCTTAGTAGATACCGGGGACGACCCCCTGGCTTCTGCTGGTACCAGTATATAGAATGGGTGTCGATACCGAGGTCATTGCTCAGGGTGCAGACTAGTCTGGCAGTTGTTCCCAGGGGTGCAGAGAAGGAGGGTGGCTGGGTCGGCTGGGAGAGGATACCTGCAACACAGACATTCATGGTAATGGGACAGGGAACAAAGTGTAGCTGCTGGGGATCTAAGCCAGAGGAGCTGATTCAGGCTTGGGGGCTTCCTTGGCTCTCTGAGGCCTCTTCCTACCTGTGCCATGAGAGAGCAGCACAAAGAGGAGAGGTGCCCAGGCCATGATGGACACAGCCCTGCTGAGATCTCACAGTGAGGTTAGGCTGTCCAGGCTTGTCTTATCTTCTCTACTGTCCCCAGGGGGAGGGAGGGGCTATTCATGCAAATTTCTCCACTTCTCTGGCTCTCTTGGAGGAGTACAGTGTACTGCTGTAGAATAAGCACAAGGCTGACAACCACAAGCTAACTGCTAGGTTGGCAGTTCAAGCCCACTTCTTGGAAACCCTATCTATACAGGATCGCTATGATTTGGAACAGACTCAGTGGCGTTTCAGGTTAGTGCACTGGACGGCAAGGTAGGATTGAACCACAGGTCGGCTGTTGAAGGTCACTAGCTACTCCTTGGAAACCCTATACAGGGCCACCATGAGTTGAAATCCACTCTACTTGATGGCACTTAACAACAATAACCTGGCTTTCTCAGACCCACCTGGTCACTGTTACTGGACCCTGAGAAGGGATCTGAGGACAGGGTAAACTGAGGGAAGTTGTTGTTGATAAGTGCCGTTGAGTCAGTTCTGATGCATAGTGACCTTGTATGGAGTTTCCAAGGAGTGGTTGGTGAGTTTGAACCGCCGACTTTGTGGTTCAAACCGACCATGTGGTGCAGTGCTTTATTCTACAGTGCCACCCCCAGGAGGGTCAAGGAAGGAGGAGCTGTTGAGAACAAATTTAGGGTTCTATACTAGAGCCTTGGTCAGACTGAAAAGTGCACAACTGCTGAGTCTGCTCAGTGAGAGCAGAGGGTGCTCAGTCTCCCGCCCCAGTAGTGCTCACCCAGCAGATGCTCTCCATGTAGTCTTCACAGTGACCCCTGTTGGCCACTTATCCATCTTTAGTGTCCACAGAGGTTCTTATATTTCTGCCTCAGACTTGTTACCTTCATTCAACCAACAGTGACTGGGATGCCTCTGTGAAGCACTGTGCGCAGCTCCAATTTGTTGAATTTTAACACGTTGTCTGTGGTTTAGAGAAATATATGATATAGAGGGATCTATATTGGAGTCCTTAGAAACCCTATACAAGGTCGCTATGGGTCGGAATCAACTCAACGGCACTTCACAGCAACAACAACAACAACAACATATTGGAGTCCTGGTGTGGTGCTGTGGGTTAATGCGCCAGACTGCAAAGCCGTTTGAAATTCAAGGTCGGAGGTTCAAGTTCACCAGCTGCTCCTCGGAAACCCTGCACATGGTCACCATGGCATTTGACAGCACACAACTAACTTGACTGCACTTAACAACAACAACAACATATTGGAATCCTGGTGGCGCTGTGGATTAATGCAAAGGAGGCAGTTTAAGCTCACCAATCACTCCTTGGAAACTCTATACAGGGTCACTGTGGGTCAGAACCGACTCGATGGCAGGAAACAACAGCTAAAGGGCAAGAGTCTCTAACTACCTGAGAAACTTTTTTAAGGAGGGTTCCTGTAAGCTGTATCTGGAAGCATGCGTGGGGATGTGGTTCTCCAGGTAGAGGAGTAGAGGATAGAAACAAAATAGATGTGGCTGTGTTCAAGCAAGGAAGCAATGTGACATTATTATTATTATTATTATTATTATTATTATTATTTTAAGTTTTTTATTGTGGATTGGGTGAAAGTTTACAGGGCATATTATCAGTTTTGCATTCAACAAATTATACACCTTGTGTTATTATTATTATTATTTTAAGGTTTTTATTGTGGATTGAACGAAAGTTTACAGGGAAGATCATTAGTTTTACATTCAACAAATCATACACCTTGTTTAATTACAATGATTATAAACCCCTGCCATGTACCATGGAGTCCTGGTGTGGCGCTGTGGGTTAATGCGCCAGACTGCAAAGCCATTTGAATCGCAAGGTCGGCAGTTCAAGCTCACTGGTTGCTCTTCAGAAACTCTAAACAGGGTCGCTATGGGTCACAATCAACTCAATGGCACTTAACAAGAACAACATGTATCATCAGTTACCAGTATTTTTCTCTATTCACTTCAGCTCTTTTTAAAAAAAAAAAACCAAAACTCATGCATATATAATAATTTGTACTTCCAAAGGGCACGTTCTGCAAGTCTGCCTCCTGGCCACCAGCTCTTAGTCCCTCTCTTCCCATGAATCTAGAGTCCTCAGCTGCTCCCTCTCTCCATGTCCCCATCTCTACCTCCATCTCTGGTGTCACTGCTTCTCTGGATAAGGTCTCACATTCCGCATGTACTCTTCTCCCTTGATGGTCCTAGGGTCCTTGTTTCTGGACTGTAAGATTAACTACGCCTGTTTTTGTTACAAAACTTCTACCTTTACAATTGTGACAGTTGCAATTAGTCATGGTAACAATTACTCGCTACTGAATCATAAGAATCTTATCTCCATCTCTTTTAACCAGACCCATCTAGACAAGATGAAAACTATTCAGTGGGGACTGTTTCTTCCCCCACACACTATTAAACTAAACTCCCCCTTGAAACCTTGTAAGCCAGTCACTTCGTGCCTTTATCACCCCTCATTTTAAGTAGCCAGTGTCTAAGTTGCCCAACCCTATCTACCCTGTGTACAGAGGGGATAGATAGCATTGATACTTAATGTGAAGACTCCTTCCCTCCCTGTTGGTATTTAGAGTTACTACCTCCATGAGTATAGGTCAGGTTCATCTAACTGTAGCAATTTACCAGCGTTTCCTTTATCAAAAATTATTTTGTTGTTCTTTTTGTTTTTATCTTCCTCTAGTTGAATTCTGATTATCAAGCCATCAAGGCTAGGTCAAGTGGGTACTAGCTGCAACTTTGGGTGTTCACAATGTGGCATTCTTACAGACTGGAAAACCAGAGAGCGAATGTTGCAGAAGGGGGACGAGAAGAGCAAAGTGAGCACTGTATCACTTAAGAAAGGATGTTTTCTTAAAAGCAGGACTTAGAAGGAATGTCAGGAAGAGGAGATTCACTGGAATGGTGTTCTATTATGAGAACCCCTAGAACAGT